CTATTCTAAGTACTATATCCGCTTTTCCATTATCCACTGCAAATAATGCGGAGTTTCGGTTCTCCAGGCAGACAGCTTTTTCCATGCGATAAGTTGAACAGTTGATAAGCGTTTTATACCTTTTCACTATCTGTTTAGATAATGTTTCATTGAAAAAAATGCACTTCGAAATCGTCACGGAGATTACGTAATAATGCGCCGAGTACGACGATACATATGGTTGTAATGCGGAATGTAAAAATGTCCTAAGTAAACGACGTTCTTATAATACATAGTATACCGATACTGCGATAACGTAGCTTCTCTCACGTTTCTTTTACGAATTCTTCCAATGTATGTAACAAGTATGCGACTCTGATCATTTTCTTGTTATCATCGACCAAGTTCATGACTTGCTATATTTTTCATTCCACGTTGAAACGGCGATACGATTGATAAAATATTACCATATTACGTCACATCAACGGTAGAATCGATGAAATTTGCGTGGAAGCTACTTTGGAATAAATTCTGATATAGGAATGCAAGTGAATGTCATTCTTTTACCGGTGTAATTATTTTCACTAGACAGGCAGGTATTTTGTAAAAAATCATTCGAATTTGAATATTAACTGTACTTCTGTATTTTTTGAAATTAAGACGATCTTCTTGGTTGTATGTTTCAATTGAAAGAAAAAAACAAACAAACGAAAGAGATCACAGTGAAGTAATTTTGCCACGTGCGTAAAGTTATTGTGCAGGGGTGAATGGTATAATAAAAGTAGCTCGGTAAGAATAATTATTGGTACTTACTTGAAGAAGTCGTCCTTGCAAAAAACATGGCCGTTTCTTGCGAAGCATTTGTCGGTCAATCTTGCACCACAGTCCCGGCACGTGAGACACCTTGCGTGCCAACACCTTTCGAGAACCCTTAGAACGTACTTGTCCAAAATCGCTTCTTGACAGCCTCCACATTTCGGTATCGAAGCTGTAACATTCAACACAATTGCCTGCTGTACCAACAGTCACGTCGAAAACGTCCAAAACGCACTTTCGCGATACTGTAAACAAATATCTCGAAATACGTACGCAAATTGGAAACTCACAAGTTTAGATTTTGTTGAGTGAAGCGTTTAAGTGTTTCAATTTACGGGGTATAGCGAAAAAAAAAGGACATTCGTTGAGAGCGAAGGATAAGAAAAGTGTGAATTAAAAATTTTTCAAACCACGCTCTGGTTTCAGTTTCTGTATATTTCTTAATTATCGCTATTCAACCCTTTATTGAGAAGCAAGTGCCTCTCGTCACTACAATAATCTCAGAGAAACGTCGTACAGTACAAAATGAAGCCCTTACAACGTCGAAACCTTAATTTGCTAATCCTGGTCCACCAAACATCAAGATCAACAGTTGCTCCAATTTTTCAATCCGTGAACTCAACTATTTACCAAACTTCCTTCCCTACCAACAACTTAATTTCTTCCGGATAAATCCAAATTATACTATTTATGTCATAAAACACGTTTTAACCACCTAAACTCTTGATCATTCTAACAGAAACACCTCTTCAGCCGCAGACATTGCACCTGCGACTCACGTAAACTACAGGCCACTCAAGTATTTCACTTCGTACACGATTTTGATCGGAAAAAGAATTCGATTAACCAAACTGATTCTCTGTTCCCCACTTACAGTAGAGGATCTCGGGAAGATTAGCCGGCAAACCGAGTTCCACAGCCGGCTGATCGAGAGGATGCATCTCGCGGTGAGGGGCGTCGTCGAAGCTGGCGATATTTGCAGCGTTTCCGGCGTTACTGCCGTTCCGCCGGACGTTCTGAGACTCTGGAGTATCGTGTGGCGGTGTCAAGACATCTTGACGAGCGCGCCGATACATCCCTTCCAGAGGTAGAGCCTCGCGGCCCAACATTTCCAAGCTTATCATAGTCATTGTTGCGCTTTTCCGATCGAAATTTAGACTTAAAGCACAGTTTGGCAACTGCCAGTCACACCTGACACTTTCACGTTTCACGCTTCTGTTGACAATCAACTGTATACTTGTCACGATGAATTTTAGGTTATGTTGAATTTCTTTCTTAGATTTTCTGAAATTTTACAATACTTGGAATTTCTACTTCGATTCGCTCAAGCGGAGTTTTGTTCATTCGGTATCGCTAACTGTACGTGAAATTGTATGCAAATTGATCGTATTAGCTAGGATATATTGTGAGTTTTTTAAAAATTGGTTCCTTCATTTTTCGTGGATTACTGTCGTGTTTTCGTTTATTTACACATTCCTCATACATTCATCGTTCGTGAACATTTCCGTGTCATCTTCTTCACTCGTTAAGGGAATAACGAAGCCTTAACACCACAACTTGCAAGCAGCGGTGTTGAAATTGTAAGTTTCACGTCATTTTTACCATAGCTGTCAAATCTCGTGTAACTTCACTGATCGACACGAGTTTCATAATTCTGTCGGAACGTCGGTAGTACAATCGTCTACGTCAATTGTCATCCAATCGGTGCACTTTCACTCTCCTCTTCAAAAAGAAACAAAAAGAGCACAAGCGTACTCAAATCCTCTTTACTACGATACAGCTATCTTCGTTGAACATTCTTAAAGACTATTTCTAGCTACTCCCGCTTCAACTTCTGCCTGTATCGATGCAACACTTTTAAATCATCATTCACGTCATACTGTTCGGACACTCCATCAGCTGTCGTATTTATCCAACTCTGAAACTCTTATCAGTCCGTTGAACTATTGTTCGACGATCAAAAATCGAACGTATCAGTGATAATAGTGGAAACAACGACAAGCCTGTGTAATATTAATCCAGCCAATGTCAGAGAGACGAAATGTTCAGGCTGCGATAGATTAGCAGCGAATTATCGATGCGACCAGTGCGAGGGTACGCGAACGACTGTCCCGACGATGTTGCAGCTGCTCGTGCGCACGTGACATTCGTGGGTGTGGCGGCCGCGTGGTGGGGCACGGGGGATCGCTATTGGGTGTGGTCCGCACCCACGCTTCAGACGCTCTGACGCCGATTGGACGGATTGTCGACCACCCCCAATATGGCGATCGACGCACCACGAAGCGTCTTCCGAGCGAGCGGCGTTCTTCTGGCCTGCTGGTACCCGCCAGGGTGTCGCTGATGCGCCGCTGACACCGCGATGATGCGCCGCAAGGATGAGAATGAAACTTCCAGAAAGGTGGAAGCGATCTTTGCCTGGCCATGTGCAAACTTTGGCGACGAATTTCGGAGATCGTTTTATTGGTACAGCACAGAGGAAAGAGTATATTCATTTTTGCAGACTGATGACACTTATAGGGGAAGTTGAGAGCGTTGAATTGAATTGGTTAGGTTTCGCGAAGAGAAGTTGATTAAGTGTCTTGGAATAATTGACGTGGTTAAGGTGATAATGTTGTAAAGAAGCTAGAGAAGTTTTGGATCGGAGTTTATGTCGTCATGAGACAAGATTTGGTTACGTCTGTATTTGTATACGCACGAAAGATAAAAAAGTGACAAAAGTTAGCGGACCTCTGAGTTTCGAAACAATCGAATTTTCTTTCTCTGCTTAACCCTTTCGCTCCGAAGGGCGTATATATACGCCCTCGAAGAATGAACTTTCATATACGAAGAGCGTATATATACGCTCTCGAAAAGTGGGCGCTCGGGTACGAAGAGCGTACATATACGTTTATACCATATATACTTTTGTTTCTTTTTTGTTTTTGCGACAAAATGATCGTTTGCCAAATTTCATTTAAATCTTATAAGACAGATACTGGAAACATATGGGAAAGAAAAATCAGATATGAAATGTACCTCAGTGTCGACTAGTCAGTAATGCGCTCCGTTCATAGCGATCATATTTTGTCACAAGCGCGCCGTAGCGAAAAGGTTAAATCGATAGTTTGAACATATGTCCAAATAGTTTTGGCGAAGAATTTCCATGGTTTCGTGCCATTAGTGCGGATTTAACGAAGCGCATCTCCGCGCCGTCAATCAGTAATCAAAACTTCGAGCGCGCTTTTATTAGAATGAGACATTTTCACAGTTTTAAAGACGGTGTTGTTCGTAACTTTTGCGATTTTCATCCGATTCGCTTGAAATTCTCACAAAATACTCTCTGTAACATAATCTAAAGGAATTGCCTAGGATTTTTGCAATATATCGAATATTTGCTCTGCAACGAACATTTTTATACCAAAATTTTAGGGAAAAATGCGATTCCTTCTTTACATGTCCACCATTTCTATGTAACTCGATATTTTTTGAAAATCTTGCGCACTTCTTTAGTAATTGGCATGTAGATGATGAAAATTTTTTGCACTTCGTTTTAAGTGAAACTGTGTGGCAGCAGGGGACAACACCGTGGGTGCGACCGTTCGGAATAGAGGTTCGGCGATGCAGCGCCGCCATTTTGTAAAGAAATTAAACGAAAAAATACTTTCGTATACTTTAAGGGTAGTATAACAAAGCTCTTGTGAAATGCAACTGATTGTGAGTCAATTATTTTCTTTATAAAAAACCATTTTCAGGCCACGGGAAACCCCTTCAGATTGACCACTTAAGAAACAAAATAGGCGTTTAGGAATTACTGTGCAACTAATGTTGCATGTAAACATACTAAAGGCTACGATTAATTTTGAGCCGAGAAAACCGAACAAAGTCTTAATGACAAAATTAGGAAGCATAAACCACTTGCAACAAAAAAACCCTTGGATTTGATGACTTTATGGCACCTGCCAGGCATTGACACGATTAATCGAGCACAAACCTTAGCCGATCCTTCAGATTAGTTAATTGATTTTCTTTTTTAACGAATTTAATCAAGATTAATTGCAACTATATTTCAACGACGAAGAGATACTTTCAAAGTGCATTCTTCAACGATTAAAAATACATTTCTCCAACAAACAAAAACAACATCACGCCAAATTTTTCAGTTTTCCAAGTGTCACGAATGAAAGCACATATCTGAATCTATAACAAACATTTCACAATTTTACCATTTCGGATCCTCCCTCGATGTCGTTCCTCGACTTAAGCTTAAAAAAAAAAAAAAAGATGAATACATTCACCCAACATCCTGCACATTAATCAAAGAAAACGAAGGCTCCATCGAATCGCGACGAAAAACAACAAAGAAACCCGCACTCCGGTTCGATCGGGCATTTTTTCTACCCCGGCGATGATCATGCAGCTTCGATATCCGCGGATCCATTTCCACGGTTCCAACCGGTGGCCACGGGTTTCTATTCATCAGAATCGTCACGTAAAAGAATTCGCCGGCCTTTCCTCGCTGAGTTTCCTTTGGCCAACGTCTCGAGAGCTGTGCCGATTGCGAAAGCAAGCGCCGCGGAAAGGCAAAGAAGAAAGTGGGTGGAGGCGGAAGATGCCTGGCGAAAAAGAAACGAAAAAAAAAAAAGAGAAGAGACCCGGAGGAGAGGAGGAGGAGGGAACGGAGGAGAAAGCAGGCTGAGTAGGAGGGGACAAAAGGATCTGAGCGAAATTAAGAACAGCCAAGCCAGGAGGGTGAGGGTCGCCATTTTATAATCTTAGTCGAGATCAGTCGTGTATACTCTTCTTTTTTTTTTTCTCCCTCATCCCTGGCTGGCTCACGCGCTCCCATCCACACCGAACCAAATAACACGACGAGGGTCGACGTATAAGTAGACGTATAGAAGGATCTACCACCATCAAACGGCACGCTTTCAATACGCATTTTTGTTTTTCTCGGTCGCGTCAGATGGCTCGTATCTTTCTCATTGTCCTTGTACCAAGCTCGCCCCCTTCGTCTTTTCGGACGAAAACTCTCTTGGCTCGTTTGACACGTGGAATACGAGCTCGCGATCTTACTCTCGTGACCTCTGGTATCTTTCAGACCTTAGACCCTTTGTCTACTGTGCTCTAGGCGATCTCGTTAAGGGGGTATTCCCATTTGCAGGGGTCGAAAAATCAATTCTCTTTTATTGAATT